GCGGTGGGGGCGGTGCGTAGGCGCTGTGCTGAGATGAAGAATCTTTCAAACGCCTGCATGTAATGATTGATGATGACAAATCATTCAGTTAGATATGGGCGATTGTGCAGATTGTGGGTCCACAAGCCGAGGCCACCGGCTCGCTTCAAGCACAGCCGGGAGCAGGGCCGCACAGGCGGGGCCCAGCGCCCGCGCGGACAGGCTATCACAACACCCTGGTCCCGGGTTTGAGGTGCCCCACAGGCATGTGGTACGTTGTCGAAAGTGACGGGGCCCAGGGTAGACTCACAAGAGTGACAGGCCACGTCTGAGGTCCCTGGAGTTCCGGTGCCGTGTTCGGCAGGAGCACCTGGTCCTGTTTGGCGGCCGGGCGAGGGCGTCTGGCGGCGACGGCGCAGGCCCAGCTGCACCGCAGCTGGATCTGCAGCTGCTGCAGGCGCGGCAGGCACCGCCCGTCGGCGCGAGCTCAGGCGGAGGCCGTGCAACATCGGGTTGACGCCCACCGACTGTGCAACGCGGCTCAGGCCGACCAGGGGGACGAACATCACCAGGGGGGTTTTGTGACGCATGACGACGGGTCAGGGTTCAGGGACCAGGGCGTTTGGCTCGACGTCGGCCCAGCCTGACTCCCCGTCCACCCAGCAAAGCAACCTGGCTGCAACCTGCGGCGCGAGGCGGCCCTCTTGACAATCAGTGGGGATTTGCACTGTGCATGCACCCATGATGTACTTAGTCGCACGAACCTGGTTGATCTGCACCATGCGATGCAGGCCCTTGACTCGGCGCGGCAGCCTCATGCATGGGCCACCGCCGCCGCCCTTCGGGATATCGTGGGCCCCGAAATCATCAGGCGTCCCCCCGACCGTCATGCATGCTGACGATTACGCTTTCAAGCAAGGTGTGTGAACGCGGCAGGTGGGCCTGCGGTGTTGTACGTCAAGTCTGTCATGCTGCACCAAAGTGCGGCAAGCGCAGCGCTGCGCGCGTGGCGCACGCGGGGCCGACGGGCGGCCCCCCACGCGCCTGCAAAAATAATGAGGGCGCGGAGAGCGGATGGGTGCAGGCGGGGCGCAGCGTGCGGCGGCGCGCCCTAGGGCGCCGCGTGGCAAGGCCAGCGGCCCGGCGCTGGTGGATCGGCTGGGCGCGGCATCGCGCTCGCACCGCCGCGTCGCGCTGGCCCCGGCTGTCGCGGGGCGGCACAGCGCGTGCAGCCGGGCTGCAGCTGCAGGGGTGGTGGGCGCGGGCAGAGTTCATCCGTGACGAGCCGTATTCCGCAAGCAAACGCGGGCGGACACGCTCGGGGCGCGGGCAAGCAAGCGCAGGCCAGCGCGGCGTTGGGTATGAACAACGCAAAACGCGCACATGTGCCAAGTACGTCTGTCAACAAACTTGCCGGCCGTGCAGCATCAAGGAGGCAGGGCGCGGGCCCGGCTGCACCCGGCAGTCCGGCGACGAGGCGGCCGCCGCAGCTGCGGCTTGCGAAGAGCGCAACGCAGCGTGAGCGGCGGCCACCATGGCAGCCACTGCCCCTGAAAGATCTAAACACACACGCGTGTCCAAGGCCTCCTCGCGGCCACCCGTCTCCATCACCCGTCTCCGTCACCCGTCGCTGTCACCTGTCGCCGTCACCCGTCCCCGTCACCCGTCGCCGTCACCCGACGCCGTCACCCGTCGTCGTCACTGGTCGGCATCCTCTGAGTCAACCATTACCAGCGCCGGCATTGCGCCGTCGCCGCCCGCACCCGCAGCCGCCGCCCCGGCTGCTGGCCCCATCGCCTGCTCGCCACCCGCGCCTCCCCCTTCTCCTCCACCGCCCGCCTGCACCGGCCCTGCAGCCGGCTGCAGGGGCGCGATCTCCGGCGCGTCCTGGCCCGCTCCCGCAGCAAGGTCCATCGCTCCTTGGTGGGGCGCTGCCTCCGCGCCTTCCGCCGCCGCGCCGGCGCCCGCCTGCGCCGGCCCTGCAGCCGGCTGCGGCTGCGGTGCTGGTTGCTGCCCCGCCCCCTGGTTTGCCGCCTGCAATGCAACCAGGCCGCCACCGCCCGCTTCCGCCTGCAGGGCGTCAAAATCAGCGGCGGCGTTGGCGGCGGCTCCGGCGGCGACGGCAAACTCCTCCGGCAGATGCTGCTGCAGCAGCTGCAACAGCTGCTGCTGCAAGTGGTGCACCACCTGCTGCCACTGCTGCGGCAGCACCAGCTGCAGCTGCTGCTGCAAGTGGTGCGCCACCTGCTGCCACTGCGGCGGCAGCACCAGCTGCAGCTGCTGCTGCAAGTGGTGCGCCACCTGCTGCCACTGCGGCGGCATCACCAGCTGCACCTGCTGTTGCACCTGCTGCACCTGCTCCACCTGCTGCTGCTGGAGCAGCTGCTGCTGCTGCTGCTGCTGCTGCTGCTGCTGCTGCTGCTGCTGCTGCTGCTGCTGAAGCTGCTGCTGCTCCAGCTGCAGCTGCTGCTGAAGCAGCTGCTGCTGTTGCAATTGGAGCTGCTGATGCAGGGCGGCAACAGCTTGCTGCGCCTGCTGCACGACAGCCGCGGCGGCGCCGCCCATCCCCGCACCCCCACCGCCGTCAAACCCTTGCACGGCCGCACCGCCCCCGCCGCCGCCGCCGCCGCCAAACGCGCCTGGGGCGTCCCCTGCCGGCCCCAGCTGCGCATCGCCGGCGCCGCCGCCGGCAAGCCAGCCAGCGGGCGCAGGCTGGGGCTGCGGGCCGACCATGGCCGCCGGCCAACCGCCCGGGTTTGCCGGGTTCAGAAACAATTGCAGCCCGCCGCCGCCGCCCGGCCAGGCGTCGCCCACCCAGACTGGAGGGCCGCCTCCTCCAGCAGGCCAGCCCTGCGGCTGCGGCACTTCGGGCGGCAGCCAAGCCGGGCCCTCGCCCCCGGCGCCGGCGCCGCCCGCGTCATCGGGGCCGGGGGTTACCACAAAATCCAGGTCCAGGGTGAGCGTCGCTGGGTCAGCATAAATCAGGTCCCGCTGGTCGCACCCAGACAGGTCGCGCCCCCTGACCCGCAGCAAGGCCTCCTCCATGGGCGCCCTGCGGACGCCGCGGCAGCCGCGGGCCTCGAGCCGCCGCAGCCCCGGCGCGCACGCGGCGGCGACGAGCGCGCTGCTGGGCAGGCCGCTGGACCAAGAGGGGTTGCCGGATATGATGAGCTCTGTTATGGACGGCTGCAGGTCACGCAGCGCCATGATCTGGTTGTAGTGGGCGGGGCCCGAGATCTCAAGGCTCCGCAGATGCGGGAAGGTGGGCCGCGGCCGCGGCGCCGCCGCTTCAAC